GCGGGCCGGCGCGAGGACGGGGCGCGACCCCCCGCCTCGCCTCGCCTCGCCTCGGGCGACCTCGGGGGCCTCGCCGCCCCCGCGCTTCTCGCGCTGCGGAGCGGGCGGCTGGCCGTCCGGTGCAGCCTCTGCCTGGCTGAGAGCCGGCTGGGTTCCTGGCCCAAGCCCTGCCCTGCGGGGTTGGCGTTTGCATTCTGCGTTACACTGGATGGCGCCCGGCGGACCCTTTGGGCTGCGGTGCGGCTTTGAAGAGATCAAGGCACAGCTCCCTTCCAGTCCTGGCTGCAGCAAAAGCCAGAGCAGCCTCCCAGCCACAGCCCCGCGTTCGGTTGCAAACCAGCGGGGCTGGGGTGGCTGGGGTGCACATCCACCCTTTTAGATGTGTCAAGACCTCAGGGGGGGAAATCGCACGCCCCCTTTTGTCCTGAGCTTTAGAGTACTGGAGGCAAGCCCCCGTGCCCCTTTCAGGGCATGCAGGTACGTCCTGTTTTTGGGTTTGATGTGCCCATCCAGAAGGAACAATGCCCGGCACCTCCCAGCTCTGCCCGCCGGCGGACTTGTCACTGCCATCCGCTCCAGCACCTCTGCGGAAACCCAGTGGGCGTCCTGCCCCAGCGCCTTCCACCAGGTGCTGCTGCCTTCACCTGCACAAGAGTCTCCTGCTGGGTTTGGAGTGCCTAAGGGAGACACGTGCCCAGCAAAGGCCACCATGAAGCCAAGGGTGACTGGAAGAAAAGCAGTTAAAAAAGGAGGATTTCTGGCTGGGCAGCAGAACTTTGCTTCCACAGAGCATGTGCCAGAGCCAAGAAGAGAATGAGCTGCCAGTGTATTATGTCAAGGAGAAGTTGTTTAAAACGGTATCCGGGAACTTTTCATTAAAATCAATAGCAGTCTTGGTGAAATGAGACAGCAATGTGTCCACCCCAAAATAACAGCTAGCAAAGAGACCCTCAAGTTGGGTGTGGGTTTTGTTTTTTTTTGGGGGGGTGGTCGAAAAATAGACTGGTCTTTGCAAATTCCCAACAAGGACACTGTTGTCCTACCAAGGACGCCTGCGCTGGAAATACAGGATAAGTATTTCAAGTGGCTCATTACTACATCTGTGCACCTCACACTCACAACTTCCTGGCTTACAGATGCCTCTTTCCACAGAAATAGACCTCTTAAAGAAACATACAAGCATCGCCACAGTTCCCCTTCTCTTAACAAAAACAGATACAGCAGAGCAATAATCACACTACATTCCTACACGACCGTTACATAACATAATCTTGGTCCGATATTACTTGGTTTTCTCTTCCCAGTAGCTATGGGTGGAGATGAAGCGTCTTGGGAGGAGGGGGGGCAGGAAATGTATCTTGCACTGCTGACTGAAGATCTGAATTAGCCTCACGATGCTGAGTGGAACGGACAAAAAAGGTCCCTCTAACTCGGTGTCGATTTTATTCCTCCTTGGATAGGCTAGTATCAGCTGGGAAGCCTTCCGTGTACACCAGCAGACAATTGTACAATCAGCACAAGGTCCGTCCTTCTCTAAACTCCGATGAGGCAAGGTAAATTTACATTCCCTTCTGCAGAATTCCAGGTCGCCTCACCCCAACAAAAGAACCACATTTAAGCCTATTTCTCATGTTTGATTCACACTCGCACATCAGAGTCCAACACAGCAGAGCGTGTCTTCAAAAGTCCAGCAAACATTTAACTTGGTGTGCTTCTTTCTCCCGTGTAGTAATTCTGCTGCTGCTCTTATTATGACATACCATGTCACTCTGTGTATGTGCAGGAAGTCAGTGGTAAAAGGAACCCGTGTCTTCCCTTCCAGTTTAGCTGTCTGCAAACTCTTTCAGACTTCAGTTAAACTGTTCAGTTTCTCCGTTTGCTTGTGGATAATACACAGACAGCCTTCTAGGTATGAGATTTCGTTCCACAAGGTTTTGAAGCTTCAGGGAAGTAAACTGGGCACCATTATGAGAAATTAACTAATTCAGGTCTCTTTTTCTACTAAAAACTCTTGACAGAAACTTAATCACAGCAGCAGAAGCGGCTTGTGATGTAGAGTATTCCTGGCCACGTACTAAAATTATCTATTAACGCTAAAGCGTGACGAGAACCAATGGGCCCACAAGGTCGATTGCACACTTCTCCCACGCTGAAGGTGCAATCAGTGTGTAACAGTGCTGAATGCTCATTTTGCTGTCTTGTCATGTAATTCAGTTAGTGTGAGCTTTAACAGCGGCTTTCACTTGCGATTCCACAGGTCCTGGCACCGTTGTTGAGTTCACACAATTCTTTTGTCATATCATGAGCAAGATGCATGAATGCAGGCCACAGTTCTTTGGAACAAGAAAATTGACAGGTATGTCGTAAAATGCAACCGTTCTGTCCAGAGAGTTCGTCACACGTCATCATCTTGCCATTACTAAGGCACTTTCTCATCCAAAATTGTCAGAGGTTTGATGAACTAGACACGCAGCTTGACCTTTCTCCGGAGTCGCTGCAGCAGAGGCTCTCGCCAGAGGCCTCACACCTTCGGCCTCCTCTTCCGGCAAAGCACGTGCCTGGTGCTGGCAACAGGGAGCGAGAGCACCGGCTGCCACATTTTGGTTCCAGGCGTGCTCCGTGTCACCAGTGAAAGAAAGCATCTGCGCTGACCATCCGGCAGTCATCCTTTCGTGTCCACGACGGACGTGCTGGCCCACACGTAGTTTAAATGGGCAGCCCCACAAGTGAGCTCTCCAACTTTCTGTCGGCCAAATGGAAGTGTTTCCGTCGACCAAGTACTTCTTCTCAGCCTGACTGCCGTTGATGCAAATGCAAGTCTCTTCAGTCTTGTCCTTATAAAGCCGAGTCAACACAGGTCCCGAGCCATGTGCAGACGCACCACCGATGGAATCTCAGGCAACGCTGGGCCACGGTGGCCCACAGCCGATCAAGGCCGGCTTGTGCCGCAGCTGCCCGCGCCGGGCTTGCCTTTCCACACAGCCACCCTCCGTGGTCCAGCAACTGAAGCGTAATTTGGAGTAGCCTTTGCATGCTCAAGCCGCTACGCCAGCAGCTACTGAGAGGCAACTTTTGAGCAAAGAGGGTGCAGCGACCAGGAAGGCTTCTCCTAAAATACAGCACTCCAAGGTGGAGATTTCAGACTCGGAATCGGACTCAAAATCAGCCAAGCAGCCAGACATGCACATGGTGGGCATGTCATGAGCGGAGCCGGCTAGAACCAGGGTCAGACTAGATGGCCCGGGCGGCCCCTTCTGACTTGCTCTGGTTCTGCTTCCAAGCAGCCACCTCTCGTTTGCGGGAGGCACTGCAGAACAGGGAGGGGGCGTGCATGAGCCCAGCAGCTCAGCATCAAGGCAAACAAGTGCAGCGCTTAAGGAATGTCCGGCTTTCCTGCTGCCCAGCCCAAACCTCCCCGAGGGTGCAGACAGGTCCTTCTGGAGGAGGGGGATTCTGTTCTGAATCAGCTCCAGGCATGAGCGAGAGCCCCCGAGCTTAACTCGAGGGAAGCCTCTTGCTGTCAACTTACGTATCGCTTCCTTGGTATCACGAGGCCGGTCCTGGCGTCCTCATAATGCGGACTAGTCAGACGCCTCCCCATGAACTGTTGGGAAGAGAACAGGAGGGGAGAACAGTGCGGGAGAGGGCTCCCGGCTTTCGACACAGAGGCAGGTGTGCGAAAAGAAAAGACAGAAGACAACAGAAGACCAAAGTACCACTTGGTCTTTTACTATTTTAACAAGTACATAAAATATGCACATAAAGACAGGTTCAGCTGCTGTTCTGTCATCCTAGTGGCAAAAAAGTCCTCACACCTCTGTCAAGCATCTCCAGCACGAGCAAAGGGAGGCCCATGCTGCATCCGTGCCCACGAAGCTGACCGGAAAGGGGAGCCTGTGGTTGTGTGTGTTCTGGCCTGGACTCTACTCTAAGTTAAGGTTCAGTTTTCCATCTCCTCCTCTCGGCTGCGACCCCAGGACCTTTGCTGGAAAAGATGGGACAGCGCACAAGGGGAAGCAGGCGGGAAATTCTGCTCTGACAGGCAGGATTCCCCACATAGAGTATTCACAGATGAAAGAAGTTCCAAAATAGAGACCATCTGATCCTGGCCTGGGGATCAAGCTTCGCCCCACAATCAGGACGGTGCTTCTTCAGGAGCCCCTTGCTCCTCCACTGGAGAATAGAGGCCTGAGCAGGACTGCTCCATCAGCCTACAACTCCCATCAGCCCCAGCCAGCACAGCCAATGCTGAGGAACAATGGGAGCTGTAGGTCACGGCAGCACGAGGGCTGCCAGCTGCCCACCCCAGCCTCGGGGTGCTTGGGGGCACATACGTCAGCATAAGCGAACATTCCCAGCAGTCTGACCCTCAAAATATGCACACACATTGCCCAGGAAGAAATCTAGATCCTGAACAAGCCCAGTCCAAAGTTGGCCTCTCCACTGCATCTCAAGAGAGAGCAGCCAGTGTTGTCCAGTTTTCCATTTCGTCCAAGTTATTGCAACAGAGGGATGGTCAACGGGCTGAAATATGGCAAATAAATAATCCTGTCGTGGCAGCTTGCGGTGGATTTCAGGTCGGGTTCTTCAGCAGAATGAGAATTTCGATCAAAACAAGCCAGAGGAAAGGTTCGACGCGAAGTTCTAGTGCTCTCTTCAAGCGTGGCAGGGAGGGAGCGGGTCCCTGCGTAGCGAAACCTGGAACTGGCTCCTCTGCAGCAAAACCGGCTGGTGTGGATCTGCACTGGCGCCGTGTCCACGGCCAGCGGCTCAGCCATGGGGAGCGGAGGGGCGAGGGGAGCACTGGACGGAGCCCAGCCGAGCCTCTCCGCTGCCCCTCGCCCCACAGCAGCTGCCAGAACGGCTTCGAGCGGCCGGCGGAGGTGCAGCCGCTGGCTCCTGGCAAAAGCCGTGTCCCCGGGCCAGCCCGGTCCAGACAGGGAACTCCACGCGGTCCACGCCGGCGGGATTCGGGCCTCAGATCTCCACGTCGCTTTCTTTATCGTTATCATGGTCGCCATCGTAGAACTCGTTGGAGGCCTCTGGCCTGCAAGACAGGAGGGTCAGCGAGGGCGGGGAGTGGGGAGGGAACAGGGCGACTGTACGCAGGCTGAGGACTGCCCCCAAGACCCTGGAAAAGCAGCACCCTGGACAGAGAGCCAAAGCCCAGCCGGCCAGCGACAATCTGGGGGACACGCCCCACGCACCTCCAGTCTCCAGCCCGGCTCCCATCACCTCTCATCTCAGACTGGCCCGGGCAAGGATGGGGTCAGAGGCCCTTGGCAGCAGGGGCTGTTCCCAGGGTGGCCACGGTCCCTCGTTAGGCGGGCACTGCCTCCAGGGTGCACAGCCAGGGTCTGCCGGCCCTGAGAAGAGCAGCCGAGCAGACACATGGGGGAGGCCAAGGTGCCGCGTGGCCCCCGAGGGCGGGGAGGCAATGCAGCGGCCCGCACAAGGCTGGTTCTGCACCCCTGCTCTGCGTGCCTGTGCCCAAAAGGGGCGGCGTCACCTGGCGGGCGAGCAAGGAGACGTGCCTGCTATAGTTCTCCTCGGAGCCTCTCTCTTCGGGGTCAGGCTCGTCCGTGCGATCATAGCTGAGCAGGTCAGACGGGACGTCATGGATTTGGACACTGGGTGCATGGTTCAGCATCTTCAGATTTTCAAAGATGGTCTGCCGGATTTGGTCTAAGTACTGATTGAGAGAGGAAACACGACAGCAGAGGACAGTTGCAAAGGCCGGCCAGCACACAGCCGCCGGCCCCCCCAAGCCCCGGCGAGGCGGAGGCGTGCTCCCCCGCGGGCAGGCGAGTGGAAGCCACCCGGAGGCACCAACGGGGAACTGCTCCCGGCCAGGAGAGCAGCAGAGCGAGCGGGAGCGGGCGGGCGGGCGGCTTACCTGCCTCGAGTTCTGGTTCTCAATCCGGGTGCTGACGTCGGGGTGGAGCGTAAAGTCTGGCGCAAAGTATTCAAAGTATTCTGCACAGAGACGGAAAAGAGCGTGGGTGGGGTGCACGGCGACTGGGGAGCTTTCCCTGAAAATGAGGAAACTCGCTCATTCCAAGGCACGCAGATGCTCACACGGCAAATGGGCTGAACAGGAAGAAGCCTCACTGCGTGTGGGGGCAGCCTGTTTTCTGGGACAGCACGTGGCTCTTCCCACTGCCTGTGCACACAGAACGCACAGCCCGACCTGCCATGCGACTCGGCAACGGGGAGACTCGAGCCGGCCGAGGGCCCGTGCACAGCCGGTTCCTTCCTGGTTAGGTGGCATGAAGCCTGCCTGAAAAAGACCTGCCCTCCCCTGGAAGGTGCAGGTTCCCACGTGGGGCGCGCACAGAGCCAGCTCTGTGGCCGCACACCCCGCCGGCCACACTGACGTGACGCACCTCTCCGTACACCAGCCGCAGCCCTAGGGGGAGAGGCAGCCTGGCCCCGGGGCCCTCCCGCCAGGATCCGCGCAGCATCCTCCGGGTGGGACTGCCTCCAGAGACGGTGGGGAAACCGCCATTAGCACAGGGGAAAGCCTTGGGGACTGGCCGTCGCAAAGAAATCAAGCTGGTGCTCTGCCCGTGGTGCTGGCTGCGGGTCAGCTTGCCCACTGCAAATGCTGCTCCCAACCCACCAGGCCCTCACCAGCTTAGAAACCATCCACCCCTCACTCAGCCACCTCCTCATTTTGAGACTGACGGTCTCAGCCTCAGCCCTCAGCTACAGGCTGCGGGGCCCCAAGAATGGGCCTAATTTTCATTTTTTCTTGTTCCGCTTCTTCCCTCATCCTCTGCCTCTTGTACCGTCCAATGGAAAGTTCTGCGGAACGCAAAAGCACGAACAATCTTTCATGGAGTGGTGGTTGGCCCTACTAAAGGTCATCTCCCGACTCTCTGAGGTGGGAAAGCATCTCATCACACACATATCTGTTAATGGTGGAGATGTCAATAAAAGATAATAAAGATAATACGTTTCAAAACCAGAGGGAAAGAGAGACCAGTCACCCAGTGACATCACAGGTGCAAAAGAAAATATTCTTAAAAGGCCTGACACGATCTCCGTGCGTTATAGAAAACGCCTATGAAATACTAGATTGATATTATGCCCTAAGTTTATGGCAACTGTAACGTTAGGAAAGTTAATTTAACGGACAGTCAGTGGGAATGCTCTGAAATTATTTTGGGGAAACGGACCTATGTGCAGTCACAACAATCACATGTGTTTCTGTATCATGTGGCCTTTTTAACAACTCCACTTGGTTACATACATGAACAAACAGACCATATATGCTAAGGCAGAGATCAGAATCTACTGCTTGCTGCTAGGATTTTGGTTGCACAACATCTGGAAGGGTACAAAGATTGCCAGCTTAAAAGAGTGTGTCAGTTCAAGAGTCAGTAAACAGCCTTTCCCATTAATGACTTTTCTTGACTTTGGATGAGCTAAACACAACTTGGACATTTACAGACATTTTTCCTTGTTGAACACCGATCGAGAGAATTGTCTAGTTGTTTTGGCTTTTCGTCTCGTAGCACACTCGGTGACAATTCTAGATCGTATCTGACTAGGAGCGTTTGCTAATTTAATGCTTGGTGATGTTTATGTATGAGACATGCAAATGAAAGAGCGAGCGAGAGAGAGGCTAAGCACGGGTGCGGGTGCATGTTCACACGGGCGTTCTGGCTTACCGCTATAAGGCAGCTCCTCGCTGATCGCCTCGTCGACCAGCAACGAGGTTTCGTAAGTCCTGCAAGGAGGGAGAGGCCGACCGCTTCAGTCCAGAGGGCGCATGCGTCCTCGTGGCGCGCGCACTCGTGCCACTGATTACCAGCACGGGGAGCCCGCCAAGAGGAGGCCGCCAGAACACCCTCGAAGACTCACCAGCAGCGGGCCACGTTGCGCACCGTGTAGCCGCCCCCTCCCAGCACCAGCAGGGGGATGCTGAAGCTCTTGACGTATTCCACGCACTCCCTAGGATCCAAAGGCAGAAAACTCAGAGCCGGCTGGCCGCCGTGCATCGTGTGCGGGGCTAAGGAGGGTGCGCGAGGGCCCGGGAAGGGCAAGCCACCGCCCTTCTCTTGGCTGCTCAAACGGTCTGAAAGATTTACAGACGGCCCATCTCACCAGAGGGGAGCATCCACAAGCAAGAAGCCCTCCTGAGCCGTCGGCAATGTTTCTCGCAGGCTAGGAGGCCGAGGAAAACAGGGATAGTGCAAAGACCGAGCTGAGGTCTTCCAGGCCACAAGGGCAGAAAGGAGACGGGTTCTGGACCTGCACTCATCCTGACCCACTTGACTGTTCGCTACCAGCTTCCAAGATGATGCCAACTGGAGGCAAGCAAAGAGCCTTCGCAACTCACAGCAGGCACAGACCTGAGCTAACCTGAACTTGTACCTAAGGGATTAATCCCGCTTTTCTCACAAAAGGCTAGCTAAGCACACCAAGATGGGGCAGGCCTGACCGGAAGCAGGTATCAGCAGCGTATCACAAACATGCTAGCAAGGGATGTACAACAAGCCCTGGAAAAGGTTGTTTGCCTGTCGGGCCCAAATCAACGAACTTTGACCTGACGGATGTCCCTGCTCAGAAACGCATCTTGCCGTGCCAGGACCAGAGTCCAGAGGCCAGTTTCAGCCTGGAACTAAGGGACAAGAATGATGAAATCCTGGAGGCAGAGGATAGGCTCACGGACACCGTTCTGGATTTTATTTTGGGGCAGCTGCAGAGGCACTGACTTCCAACAGCTGTATAAACCTCTTTCCCTCTCTCACTCCCACTCCAAAGCAGCTATTTAATCTGAGCCATTTAAACCACATTTGGTGGGAATGGTCTCTAATTAGTTTCGAAAAAAGGTCCTCCGTACCCACTCACATCTCTCTTATTTCTTATATATCGCTTTCCCAAAATCAGCTCCACAGCATGGAAAAAACAGAGGTGCCTGAACCATGCTTGGGTTTGTGAGCAGCAGGGCTGATGGCAGCTTTGGAAAGGCAATCCAGAACGGGAAGCAGTGCAGCGGGGCCAGCCTTCCCTCCTCCCATGCCAGAGCTCCACCGCCACTTTAAAAGGAAAAAGCTGGAAAATCCAGTCGTGCCCATTTCCACCCCCATTTCGTGTAAGCTCGCAGGATACTTACCCGTGTCCTCTTATGCTGAGGTTAAAGCAGCCCAGACGATCGCAGCCTAGAGAGTCCGCACCACACTTCATGGGGGGGGGGGAGGAGAAACGAACTGAGCAGAAAGCAGCGAAACGGAGGCCCCGCTCCTGCAAGCCAGAGCTGTGCCACACGTGCCAAACACGGCAGAATTTCAGCAGTCCTCCCGCCCTGGTCAGCTGGCACGGCAGCACCCCCACCTTCTCCCCAGCACTTCCCCCAGGTGACCACAAAACCGCCTAGGTGCCCAATGCACTTACCTGCAGCACTATGCAGGTGGGCTGGTAGAATTCTACCACCTGGTTGATGACAGGCTGGAAGAGGTGCTGGTAACCTGCGAGAGAGGGGACAGAGGCTGCGGTCACAGCTCCTCTGCTGCAGCCCGGCCCGGCCCGGCCCGAGGGTCCCTGCCACTCACTCTGGTCGTCGATGCCATCACGCAAGGGGACGTTCAAGCAGTAATAGCGGCCGCTCTCTGCCCCCACTTCATACATGTCTCCTGGAAGGGCAACGTACAGAATTCAACACCTGACTTTTAGAATAAAGTCTCATTAAAAGGCCGGTCTTGCCTGCAGCCTTGAGGAATTCTGCCCCTCTTTTTAACTACACGCCAGAAGACAGCCGCTGCGACATGCCTATCCAAAGCCAGAGTCCTTTACTGGTACTCCAGACCGAATTGTGAAGGACTGCGGCAGATTCTCTACCTGTGCCGGGGAAGAAGTAGTTTCCGTATTTGTGAAAAGACACCGTCATGACACGGTCCGTCAAGTAAAAGGCCTCCTGAACCCCGTCGCCATGGTGAATGTCGATATCGATGTAAAGCACCCGCGGGTGGTACCTGCCGGAGAGCAGACACAGAACGCGCGGTTGGACGAGGACCAAGAGCGCGACCCCAGAGTCAGAGCAGGAGCAGCGGCGGTGGCCAGGTGCGTGGGGGGCAAAGAGGCCCGGGGGGAAACGGAGGCGGGCAGTCAGACCCGTTTCACGTGCTCCGTGAAGCTGCCCTGCAGCGGAGAAAGAGCCTGGAAGGACGTTTCTTCCCATTATGAGACCAAGAGCCGAGCATGGCCGTCATGGAGAGGGAGTCCCCCAAGGGGGGCGTGGAACTATGAGAAACCACTTGGTACAAGAGACGCAGCCGAGGGTGCCACTCCGCTCCCCTTCCAGCGTCCTTCCCACACCACCACACGGGCACTGGCACGGACTCCTTACTTGAGAAGCTCCAAGATGCCGATCACAATGTCGTTGACATAACAAAACCCAGACGCCTAGAGCAAAGCACACACAGGCGCGCGCATTAGGCAGCATCAGTGGAAAGCGGCGGCACCTTCCCAACCTGCAAGGACGTGGGAGGCAGGCTTGCCACATTACCTCAAACTTCTTGGCATGGTGCAGACCTCCGGCCCAGTTTATGGCAATATCACAAATCTAAAAACAAAGGGCTCACATTAACACCTGGAAAAGCGTCTCCGAAATGGCAGTGCCTGCCAAATGATGCTTAATCCCTGGACCCAAAACCCCAACTCAATCTCCACCACCTCCCTTTCCACAAAACATAAGGGAGACTTTATACAGTGCTATTGCAGTTTCCAAGCATTTCACATGCGCTATCATTACAAACCTCACAAGACTCTTCTGCTCTCGGGCAAATTATTCCCTCCCTCATGTCCCCATACTGGAGCTGGGAGACTGAGAAATTGCGGCTTCCCGAAGGACACCTGGTAAATCATGGGAAGAGCTGAGCTTGGAGCTGGGAGACTTCCTCCGCATTCCAGTGCTCGGCACCCATACCTCGCTTGTTCTCGTGAAATTCCACCAAAGCTAAAAATCATCAATCCTATTTAGCTACACAGCTAAACATGGGATAACCGCTCTCAGAACAACCTGGCTGACAGCAGCCCAAAGGTGTATTCCAAGAGGGTAAGCACGGCATCTCTGTTTTACCTTATTATTCAGCTGCGTTGCTCCTTGCAACGAGGCCCCAGTGTATCGAGAACAAAATTCAAACAGCCCCGGGAACACTGGGCTGAGAAAGAGAGAGAGAATGCACACGCACACACGTACACAACTATGCAGAATTCCGGACAACCAGGTCACTGACTGTTTTGGTTGCTTCTATCCGACAAGCTAACTAGGCATGACAATACTTTTGCTGGGTTACCCATAGCCAGAGGAGCAGAGTATGAGGCTTCAGATCAGTCCCAGCAGGGTTCCACTGAGCTGAGAAAGTGCAACCCGCAAGTTTCTTGGGAACGTTTAATACGCAACCAGGCCGCTGGAGCCCTCAGGCGTCTGAGCGCAGCCCTCCGAGGCCTCAGCAGTGCGGGGCGGCCTGCCTCACGCACCCAGCACAGCCAGGCAGCAGCGTGCGGTGCTTACCAGTCGTCCCCCACGTTGAAAGCGTTGAGGCTCTTCGTGAATCCCTGCATGTTGTTGGGACTCACCCTCTGGAGGAAGTCGATATAGTCTTCCGAGTGAAAGCGGCACATATCGTGTTGGGATGCCTGGTACGGCTTAAATACCTGCGGGAGAAAGCGATGCTGTTCCGAGCCGAACTCGATGAGCAGCAGCAGCAGGCAGAGGCACCCATCTCGACGTTCCGGTTCACGCGCTCCAGCAGAAGGCCGGCTTTGCCTGGCACAGCAAAAGCAAGTGCCTTGCAGCGCCTGAAGGGCTAGAACAGAGCCAGGCAGAGCCCACTCTTCCCCTCGGTATACACCTGAATTGCGGCCGATGAAGCGGGCTGGGAGACGGCTAGAGCGTAGGTGGAGGAGATCACGGGATGAATCTGACTGAACACACTTAAGAGCCCATTATTGAGCCTATGCTGTGGCGGTGAGGGCGGCGAAAAAGAAATTCTCCGTTTCCATTGCCTCCTCAAAATGCCGTCCGGCGGAGCTTTTTCAAGTGGTACAAGGCCTGATCGGCCCTGGCCCTGGCCCTGGCCCTAAGAAAGATCTGGTTCCACCCTCGAAGGCCCGCTGTGACGACTTTGCCAAGCATTTCAGGGAGAAAATCGCTCAGATTCGTCAGGAGCTAGACTCTACTAGTGATTCAGAGGCTTCTGGGGAGATACCAATGTCACCGTCTGGTCCAAAATTAATGGATGAATTTCAGTTACTGCGGCCTGATGATGTGGACAAGGTGCTTGGACGAGTACGTCCCACCACTTGCCTATTGGAAACTTGCCCGTCTTGGTTAATAAATAATTCCAAGCACGGGATTGGGATCTGAATCTTGGAAGTGGTTAACGCTTCTCTGAGGGAGGGTCGGATACCTGCCCCTGTAAAGGAGGCGGTAGTCCGACTGGTCCTGAAGAAAGCGTCACTGGATCCAGAGATGGCCACTAATTATAGACCAGTGGCCAACATCCCGTTTCTGGGCAAGGTGTTGGAGCGGGTGGTGACGGGACAACTCCAAGCACTCTTGGATGAAACTGATTATCTGGACCCATTTCAGTCCGGCTTCAGACCTGGATACGGTACTGAATCTGCCTTGGTCGCCCTGTACGATGACCTGTGCAGGGAGAAGGACAGGGGGAGTGCGTCCCTGTTGGTTCTTCTGGACCTCTCAGCGGCTTTTGATACCATCGACCATGGTATCCTTCTGGATAGGCTAGCGGGATTGGGGGTCGGAGGAACTGCTTTGCAGTGGTTCCGCTCCTATCTCAATGGCCGATTCCAGAAGGTGGTGCTGGGGGACTATGGCTCTGCACCATGGCAGCTATGCCATGGAGTATCGCAGGGATCCATTTTGTCCCCTTTGCTGTTTAACGTCTACATGAAACCGCTGGGAGAGGTCATCAGGAGGTGTGGGCTGCGGAACCATCAGTACGCTGATGATACCCAGCTCTACCTCTCATTTTCCACCAATCCAGGTGCGGCAGTGGCTGTGCTGAACCGGTGCCTGGCCGAGGTAATGGGCTGGATGAGGGCCAATAAACTGAAGCTCAATCCAGACAAGACGGAGGTCCTGTTGGTTGGCAGATCGGGCTTCAGGGAGGGTGAATTGAACCTAGTCCTGAATGGGATTGCACTCCCTCTTAGGGACAAGGTTCGCAGCTTGGGAGTGCTCCTCGACCCAGAGCTTTCACTGGAAGCTCAGGTGACAGCGGTGGCGAGGAGCGCCTTCCTTCAGCTTCGGGTGATCCATCAGCTGCGCCCCTACCTGGAGTACGACTGCCTGGCGACAGTGACCCACGCGTTGGTGACTTCCCGACTTGACTTCTGTAACGCGCTCTACGTGGGGTTACCCTTGAAAACAGTCCGGATACTTCAACTGGTTCAAAATAGAGCTGCCAGGCTGCTGACGGGGACTGGGCGTTATGTTCACATGACTCCAGTCCTCCGTCAGTTTCACTGGCTTCCCATTGAAGTCCGGGCCCAATTCAAGGTGTTGGTGATGACCTATAAACGGCTTGGGTCCTGGTTACCTGAAGGAGCGCTTACATCCACATGTGCCCACCCGCCCCGTGAGATCTGCGGGAGAGGCCCTTCTCCGGGAACCCTCTGTGAAGGAAATTAGGAGGGTGAGTACTCGGAGGAGGGCTTTCTCTGAGGTGGTGCCCAATCTATGGAATGCGCTCCCCAGAGAGGTCCGCCTGGCTCCGTCGTTATTTGTTTTTCGGCACCAGGCGAAGACCTTTTTATTCAAATGTTATTTCAATTGTTAATATTATTTATTCATTTTATTCTTTGGCCAGGGCGACTTAATTTATATTGTTAATTTATATTATTCTATTGAAGTTTATTTATGGTTGTGAGCCGCCCCGAGGCTTCGGTGAATGGGGCAGCATAGAAGTCTCTTAAATAAATAAATAAATAGAATGGCATGGATGTTCATGCGCCAGAGGCCACTGTATTAGGCATGGGGGCTGGACCCACATTCCAACTCTGCCACTGCATCCGGGCCGGCAGCTCAGAGACAGATCTAAGATCTCAGCTACGACATCAAGACTGTGCTGACCTGCACCTCTTTGAACATTGGTCAATGCTATCACACCCCAGCAACGCCCCTTGCATTCTGCGAGGCACAGACAGGCCAAGCTCTGTCCCAAAGAACACATGGACACGAACCTTACCTGCCAATGGGCAACAGCCACAAACCAGACAAACAGGTCAGCCCCTGGGAATGGCACGTGGCTCTCGCCGGAGTTTGACGGGAAACCCACTGGACCGCAATTTGTCAGGCAATTTCATCCCATCACCCATGGCTTCCATCTGGATTGTGCATGTTTAATCCCCCTACGTGGCTCAATTGGCTTATCAACGCCACTGAGCCTATTTTGCTTTTTCATAGTTGCCTCACTGGTTGTTTTTGCATGTCATTTCCAAATCCTAGTTTTTACTCTACTGCTGGTGCACCCATCAGAGCAGTTTATGTTGATTTAGAATTTAATGCAAAACATTAAATGCAATCGAAAAACAAAACAAAACATTCAATCGAAAAGCAAACCGCATTAAAAGGTAAACCGGCAAGGCGGGCCAACGGACACACCAGCCCCGGAGGGAGCATGATTTCGCGTGCACGTCCTGCAGCGAGGGGCGCCCTCGGCTGCCCGCGCAAGGCCCGCGGGGGCTCCCTGCCGGCTCAGGCCCTGCCCGGGGCCGCGGAGACGGAGCGCGGCCGGGGAGGCAGCCGGGCACCGCCGCGGGCCGCGGGCGCGGTCCCTGAGCGCGTGCAGAGTGCGAGCGAGCCCCCCCCCCCCCGCGCCGGTACTCACGATCATCTTCTTGTAGAGCCCGTAGTGCAGCACCAGGCTGTGCGTCAGCGCCAGGCGATGCGGCTTCATGGGGTGCCCCGCGCCTGGCACGGGAACGAGAGGGCGCGGTCAGCGCGCGCGCGCACCGGCCGCGGGGGATGCAGGGGCCGGGCCCGCGGCGGCGGCGGCGGCGGCGGCGGCTGCGCGCAAGGCTCCCCGGAGGTGGCCGCGC